AGGGACAATAGACCAACCTCTTCTCTTCTCTCTCTCTAACTTAGGACCTCCCTGACCTGATTTCTACTGTCTTAGGGCCCTGCCATCCAGGAGGCTACACGGAGGCGATAGATTAATCATTAATAAACAAGTCCATGCCAATTAAAGGCTAGTCAGTTGATGGATTTACACTGCTATCTCTGATAGCACCACCTGACCCCTGATGAAGGGCTGACAGTATTAGGAACTATTGCAGGTAAGGTGGAAAGGCTCCCCAAAGCACATCATGTAAGCTGTTCCTTGCACCTCTGCCTGAACATGAAGCTAGGCCCAACAATGTACAAACCAGAATCTGACTAAAGTAAACTATTTCTCTGGTAAGTGCTACTCATGGGGAATTATAGACTTTAAATAAAACATTGAGAGGAAAAACCATTACTGTATCTAGCATCCAGTAATTCTCAGCCCTTTGAAGTATCCCTCTTGTGGTGGTAACGTAAGTGTATAGAATTGCCGAACACTTAATATTTAAGATCCATGGATCTTACTGCATGTGAAATATACCTCAATTAAAAACAAAAAAGTACACCCATGTTTATAGCTAAAAGGTGGCAGTAAACTAAGCGTCCACTGGTGAATGAATGGATAAGCAAAATGTGATATATATATATATATATATATATATATATATATATATATAATGAAATATTATTCAGCCTCAAAAGGGGAGGAAATACTGACACATGCTACAACATGGACGGACCTTGAAGACATTATGCTAAGTGAAATAAGCCAGTCACAAAAAGACAAATATTGTGTGATTCCACTTATATAAGGTACCTAGAGTCGTCAAATTCATAGAGACAGAAAGCAGAATGGTGGTTTTCAGGGGCTGGGGGGAGGAAGGAATGGGGAGGTGTTGTTTAACAAGTATAGAGTTTCAGTTTTGCAAGATGAAGAGTTCTGGGATTGCACAATAATGTGAATGTACTTTACTGAACTGTATACTTAAAATGATTAAGGTGGTAAACTTTATATTATGTGTATTTTACCAAAATAAAAAAATAGGGAAAAAGAATTTGAAAAATGTATGTATATATATGTATATATATCCCTGATCCCATTATCCCATTAGACCAGGGATGACAAACAAGTTTTATTTCTCTTGGAAACTCTAATCAATTATTCGTGCCTGCCTTGGGCACTGTCTGGGCGAGGAGAGGGAATTCTAGACATTTAATTGGATGCAAACATCCACTGAAACAATTAGGCTTATTCATAGCAAGGCTAAAAAACCCTGAACAATGTACTTACAGTTTTTCAGGATTGTTTGCATTGCACACTTCAGCATGGCCGTTGCAAACACACTGCCCACCAATGCTGATATCCTTTATGCTGTAATAATACTATCCAACAGAAAACAGAACAAGGCAGTTTTAACAAATGGCAACATAAACTTTCCTTTACTAATCTTTAACTCACATCTGTATTGACTCTGCTTCCCTTTCACCCTGTTCTCTTGAGCCAGCCTCAACACAAACAGAGCCACATTTGGATGTAACTTGTCTTACAAAATAAATGCATTCCTCAATCAAATTTAATAGCATTATGCTGAATTTGTACATTTTTAAAAATAAAATGCTTTGGGGACGGCCAAGTGGCTCATTGGTGAAGAGCTGGCTTGNATTGTTGTTATTTTTTCTCATATTTATATCTGAATTTAGAGTGGGGCACTTACCCCACAAGTTTGTGAGTTATTTGTCACAATAGAAAGACCTGAGTCCACAAGCTTGAAATGATCTCACCCTCTTCATGGGCAGGGGATAACCTAGCATCAGTCGTCAGGCAGAAATGGGGATAAATGGTAGGCGGGGCCTCATTTCCCAGTGCCCCTCCCCCAGTGCTCACCTTCACACTCATTGCCTTTCTCCCACGTGGCTGGCTGCCAGCGTCTCTGATTGTACCCAGCACAACAGCGATCACACGTCTCCCCACAGGTGTGGTGTTGGCACTGACATCGAAACCTGGGTATATGGTGAAGCATATCTCAGTTATTGAAAAGTTTTGACTAAGATCAGTTGTTCCTGTGTGAAAAACTGACAGTCACCATGGTCACCCATGGTACCATTTATTGAGTAATTATGAGAACAAAGCACTTCGCATATATTATTTCAAGTCTTCCCCATCCTGCTATTTATAGTGGGTGACATTAAGATTCATAGAGATTCAAACACTTGCCAAAGGTTAAATGGTGATGATAGCCAGATTTCAAACCTGTTTGTCTGACTTCGAAGTCCCAACTCTTTCTTCTCTATAACATTATATTACAATAAATCAACACATGAGCAAGGAAATGTTGATTTTCCTGAGATATTGAATAGCACATCTTCACAAAGATCTGGAGTCATCCTGTGAGAAAGGTCTGCTTAGGTTTCTTCTCTCAACCTGGGGTCATGCACAGAGAGCCACCTAATCCAAGAGCCAGTTGCTAATAAGATCTCAGGGGACCCTGTCAAGAAACAGCTTCATCACAGGGCCCAAAACTGAGATTACTCAGCAAGGCAAAGGGGTAAACATCTTCTAAAAATCTACATTCAAAGGCTTATACATCCACCTTAAAACTTTTCCAAGTTAAAATGAAATTGTTGCAGCGATGGTGTTAGATGAGAACTCCAAGCTCTGAGCTCCATTCATCTGTGTTTGAAAGAGGATTCAAAAGTTGTCTAAGGAGGCTCTTGGCTGTGCCTGTAGAGATTCTCTCAACTCTTCTGAAGGGAGGTAGGATGGCATATATTCAGTTACACTCCTAATACAATGTGCCATCACTCTCCCAGCTCAGCTGCCTGTTAAAGCAAATGGACAGGCAGCACAGAACAGCTGGAATCCAAATGGGCCTTTGTCAGAGAGGCTATTTCAGTTTGTTGTCAATGATGAATTTGCATAAGCTGTACTGGAAAGATGGCTTGAAGAACATACAGTCCAACTGCTCTCACAGAGAGATTGAAAACAAGCATATTAAAAAAAAAAAAGTGGCGTACTTGTCTGAATCATATTGATACCCACAAGTAACTGCTTTGTCATATTCTCCATCAGCCCAGGCTGATGGTTGATATAGAGCATCCTTGCATCTACTGTAAAGATGTTATCAAAGATACAATTGACTAGAGGATCCTCATGATTTTCTATTCTTAGATGTGGATTTCATCAGCATGTGTGCAAGCCAGCCTGTTGGGCAGAAGCAAACTAGCAGGCCAGGGGAGTGAAGGCAGTTGTGTTGGTGTACACCAGTGGCACACTGAACCTTTCACCAGACATGGGGAGATGGCCTCTCTACTCACAGCCACCCTTTGGGTCAGCAGAGTCAACAGGGTTTGGCAGCCCTTCCAAAAGGGAAATTCAGATCTTCTCTGTTGACTTCAACTCCTCTCCCACATGGCGCCATTTCGTCTCAGGTTTAGGGACAATAGACCAACCTCTTCTCTTCTCTCTCTCTAACTTAGGACTTCCCTGACCTGATTTCTACTGTCTTAGGGCCCAGCCATCCAGGAGGCTACACGGAGGCGATAGATTAATCATTAATAAACAAGTCTGTGCCAATTAAAGGCTAGTCAGTTGATGGATTCACACTGCTGTCTCGGATAGCACCACCTGACTCCTGATGAAGGGCTGACAGTATTAGGAACTATTGCAGGTAAGGTGGAAAGGCTCCCCAAAGCACGTCATGTAAGCTGTTCCTTGAATCTCTGCCTGAACATGAAGCTAGGCCCAACAATGTACAAACCAGAATCTGACTAAAGTAAAATATTTCTCTGGTAAGTGCTACTCATGGGGAATTATAGACTTTAAATAAAACACTGAGAGGAAAAACCATTACTGTATCTAGCATCCAGTAATTCTCAGCCTTTTGAAGTATCCCTCTTGTGGTGGTAACATAAGTGTATAGAATTGCTGAACACTTAATATTTAAGATCCATGGATCTTACTGCATGTGAAATATACCTCAATTAAAAACGAAAAAGTACACCCATGTTTATAGCTAAAAGGTGGCAGTAAACTAAGCGTCCACTGATGAATGAATGGATAA